AAAAAAAAAAAAAAAAAAAAAAAAAAAAAAAAAGAAGATTAAAATCTTGCGATGGACAAACGTGAGGGAGATCGAAGGAACGTTGTCCATATTTAAATGTGGCTTTAAGTAATTTTTGTTTATATTCAAGTTCCGATTAAATTACTTACGAATAAATCTCTCCACGAAGAGAGCTATGGTAACCACGTAAAAGACAAAGAGATAAAATATGTTCTGCCTATTCTCCTCGAGGAAAGTCGATATAGCGTCCCACTGCTTGCGCGTCCAACTTTTCGCATCCTCCGGCGGTAGCTGATCGATGTGAAAGCTGGTCATGCGAGCGACATTCGTCGACGTGTCCAGAAAATTTTGCTTGGCGCCCTTGCAATCGAGACCGATCGCGACGAAGTCGCCCTTGTATTCCTTCATCATTAATTTGAAATCGTTGTACGTGAGATAGTCCTTTCTCTCGAGACCGGCGTCCTGAGACAATTGAGAAATTTAGACATTGCAAGGGGAAACGAAAAAGTGATGGAAATGCGTGGTAGAGTGGAAACGATAGAGGTTTCACCTGGAACATGCCGTCGATCAATTCCGTGACGTGATCGTCCGAGAGACTCGTGGTACGTGCTATTTCCACGAGCGACCTCAGCATCTCCGACAGCTCCTCCTTGTCGATCACGCCGTTGCTGTCCTTATCGCACATGTCGAAGATAATGCGCAGCTTATCCTCGGTTTTGCCACGTGAAAATAACAAGACCGTGTCCAAGAATTCCTGGAATTGAAGATAAATCAGAGAGTCACGATGATCGAGTAAAACGAGAGAGAAAGCGCGATGCTCCGATGAAGCGAATAAATCGCGATTGATTATACCTGAAAGGAGATCCGGCCGTCGCCGTCCTTGTCGACGATGTTGAACATTTTCTTCACGAAGACCGCGTCGGACCGCATGCCGAGGGCACTCGCGAATTCACTCTTGGAAAGCGAAGTGCGCATTACTGTAACGACCTCCCCGGTGTCGCTGTCTTCGGATCGTCGCCTTCGTTCGCCGGGCCGTAAACCGAAAGT